TCCCCTAGGATAGTTTTCTGCCAGCTTTATCTTGTTGTTGTTGTTGTTGTTGTTGTTGTCAGCTGCTGTTGAGTCCGTTCTGACTCGACAGTGACCCTCTGGACAGCAGAACTAAACACTGCCCAGTCCTGCACCGTCTTCACAGCTTTCTTATGTTAAGCCCATGATTGTAGCCATTGTGCCAACCCATCCCATCGAGGGTCTTCCTCTGTTGTCGCTGCCCCTCCAGTTTACCAAGTATGGTGTCCTTCTCCGGGGACTGATCTCTCCTGACAACGTGTGCAACGTCCGTAGACAAAGTGTCTCTATCCTTTCGTCTAAGGAGCACTCTCGCTGTCCTTCCAAGACAGATCTGGCGGCTCTTTTGGCAGTCGATGGTATTTTCAATAGTCTTCGCCAGCGCCATCATTCAATGCATGGACTTCTCTTCAGTCTTCCTTATTCAATGTCCCACCTTCACGTGGATAGGAGGCCATTGAAGATACCCTGCCTTGGGTCAGGCGCATCGCAGTCCTCAGAGTAACATCCTTGCTTTTCAACATTTTCACGAGGTCTTGTGCTGCAGACTTCCTCTCTTAGAACGATGGGAATTCCCATCACTCCTGAGCTGACAAGCGTGCAATGTAATGTCTGTCCATGTTAACAGAGGAGCGCTGGGATGTCGCGGTTGAACACTCAGCTGCCTACTGGAAAGCTGGCGGTCCAAAGCCACTGACCGCTGCCTGGGGCAGAGATGTGGTGGACTGCTTTTGTTGCGAAGACTGCCTGGGAAACCGTCGGGGGCCGTTCTCCTCCGTCCCGTAGGGCCACTGTGAGTTGGCATTGACTCAGTGGCAATGAGTTTGTGTCCATACAAACTCTACGGATTTGATGGACTTCATTGTCTCTACGCTTACTTCCCTGTCTCTGTGGGTTTACAAGGTCACCTGTCCTACCACCTCTGGAGTGTTGAAGTCAGTTCCGAGGAGATGTTTTTGGTAAAGACCTGGGCCGAGGAGATGTTTTTGGTAAAGACCTGGGCCCCTTTGCCGTGGAGTGAAATTTCTTAATATGGCTCTCCTTTCTGCCATGGTGACAACGGAGAGGCTTCAAATCACTCACCTTTAGGTTAGCACTCGATCAACAATGGCTTTTGAGGGATGCCATTATGACGTCATGCTAACGGTCTCCCTCATGCGGATGATGTGGCTTTGTCCAGTTTAAGACTTAATCAATGTTCTCCGTAAAAAAAAA